GTCCTGGAGAAAGATGTCCTGTGTAGTATGAGGGAATGTTTCAGTACAGGAAAGCGGGATTTCTGCCTTCCAAGCTCTAACCCCAGAGTCCCCAACCCTGGCTTCTGCTCACACAGTTCCAGTCCACTCTGCCCTCCCTCTGCCGAAGCCCAAGGTGAATGGCTGCATACGAGATTTTGTGCGTTGGCCCTTTAAGACGGTGCCTGCATTTCCAGCTGTTGCTTGCTGGCAGGCAGCCCAGCTTGGGGTTTAGACTCCAGAGTTCTCAGTGGGAACCCAACACAGTCAAGACATCCCTCTGGAACTTCAGCTGCTATCTGTAGGAGCCTGGCCAGCCCTTTTGCACCTTCACACTTCCTACCAGTCTCTATGCGGTCTCCACTTTCCATTCTTGGTTATCAGGGTTCTCTCCAGCTAGTCTTCAGTTGATTATTCAGGATGGTTTTTCTGTATATTAGTTCTAATTCTAATTTGTCCCTGGGACATGTCAGTGTAGCTTCCACTTACTCTGCGGCCATTTTGGAATCTCATCAGTTTTTTAAAGAGAGATTGATCCTTGTTCCCAACTGAAGAAGTGTTCTAGGAAGTAGTAACTGACATCTAGAAGGTGACATCTTCAGGTGGCAGTATGCCCTTTAAAGAATCATTGTGGTTAAAAAAAAATCCTTCTACTTGAAACTGAGTGAGGAAAAAAGGTGATGTTTGCTTCTCTACAGCTGGAAGTCTTGATGCCAAGCAGCAGAGCCAATACAATTAGAAACTAGGTGAGTGAAATACTACAATAAAGGCAAGAGCTAATTGAATAACATAACACTAGTATCACAGCTAAGAACTAAATTGTAAAATCCTATTGAGGCAGATATCTTATATCTGTCTTACCTTTATGCAGTTCGGTACTTAATATTTAAATATCTATTGAAAGAATAATTTAACAAAAATTAGAAAAGATTCCAGAATGTCTTCTTATTCATATCCCTGCCTTTTAGTGGTTAATAAACTATTATCCCATTTTACAAACAAAACAGGACCAGAGAAAGGCAAGAGGAATTAGGTTATAATATGTGCACTGCAGCGTTTCCTTTCTCACACAGATTTTTTAAAAACAGGAGTTGGACACCATGAGCTCCATTAAAGTGGGGACCTGTGGACTAGTTTCAACACTTCAGAAAGCTTCACAGAACTGAACATTTAAGCATAACATGATCACAAAGGCAGTTTTTTGCTTTTGATTATAACTCAAAATGATAACACTGGTTATTTCATGTTAACTACAAATTCTGCTTGGTACTTCTATAAAAATGGAGAAACCATGTACTTAATAAGCTTCTCTTGTAAAAAAAATTTTTAAGTGAAATAATTAGAAAATGATAAAGAAATTTATCTCTGTTGATAAAAAGTTTTGGGGCCACAAGAGCTCACTGAGGCTTCTGTGGTCTTCTGCAGCACTGGCACTGACACCTTCCTCTGGGTCTCAGCAAGCGCCTCTGCCTGTTCCTGCTGCTCGTGCTGTGCAGTGCGGACCCTAGCTTGCAGGGAAGTTGGAGGATCTACAACGGGAAAGGCTCACTAGAGCTGCCTGGAGAGGTCCCTGGTTGCATGCACACTGCCTTGTTTCAGCGCAACCTCAATCAGGTATCCTGTGTGTCCACCACAGCGAGCCTGTGCCTGAGTTCCTTTAATGGATCCTTGCTACAAATTTAATGACCTTAACTACATGGAACTCCTTGGATAACTGGATCTATAGCCAAAAATTTCAGACCCCCTTTGATATTAGCAAATGGCAAAAAGTAAACTTGATTTTTGAGGGTGTTGATATAGTTACAAAGGTCCTGCTCAATACCGTAATGTTCTTATTGGGAAAACAAACATGTTAAAATACAGCTTTGATGTTATGCATGTGGTCAAAGCCCTAAACTCCCTTGAGCTGTGTTTTCAGTCACCAGTGCTGTATGCAGCCCAGCAGAGCAGAGCTCACACTAGCTATGAGGTACCCTCAGACTGCCCTCCTAGTGTACAGAAGGGAGAATGCCATGCCAACTTTATTTGAACGGAGCAGTGTTCCTTTAGTTGGGACTGGAGGCCTTTCTTTCTGATCCAGGGCATCTGGAAAGATGTCAGAATTGAAGCCTGTAATATTTGTCATCTGAACTACTTCACATTTTCCCCTGTATATGACAACCATGCCCAGTAGTGGAATCTCAAAATAGAGTCTTCTTTTGATGTTGTCAGCTCAAAGCTAGTCCCTGGTCAAGTGATCATAGAAATCCCTAAATTGCAAACATAGCAGACATACAGCATTGAACTTTAGCCTGGGGAAAGGATTGTTAAGCTCTTTGTGAAAATTATCAAGAAAATTACTGTAGAAATTTGGTGGCCTCATGGACATGGAAACCAGACTGGGTACAACATGACAATTCTTTTTAAACTGAATGGAGACTTAAAAATTTAAAAATCAGCTAAGGTTTATTTTAGGACAATGGACCTATTACAAGAGCCCATAGAAGGGTCTCCCGATCTGAGTTTCTACTCCAAAATTAATGAATTTCCCATATTTCTGAAAGGATCAAACTGGATCCCAGCAGATTTATTCCAGGATCGAGTAACCTCTGACTTGTTATCACTCCTTTTGCAGCCTGCTGTGGATGCTAACATGAATGCTCTTCGGGTGTGGGAAGGAGATATTTATGAATGTGATGAATTCTCTGTGATGAAATACAAATAATGTTATGGTAGGATTTTATGTTTGCCTGTGCCCTTTATCCAAATAATCGGGACTTCATAAATTCAGTGAGAACAGAAGTTGCTTACCAGATCAGAAGACTGAAATCTCATCCCTCCATCATCATATGGAGTGGAAATAATGACAATAAAACAGCGCTGATGATGAATTAGTATAGTATAGACTTCACATACCTGCCTACCTACATGAAAGATTATATGAAACTGTATTTTGAAAACATCCAAGAGATCGTCTTGGCAGACAAGACTTGTCCTTTTATCACATCTAGTCTTACAAATGAAGTTGAATTCATTGCAGAAGGCTGGCTCTCTGCCAATCCATATAACAAACATTTTGGTAACATAAATTTTTATGACTATACCAGTGATTGCTAGGATTGGAACATTTTCCCAAAAGCTCTATTTGCATCTGAATATGGGTTATCAGTCCTGGCCTTTCTTCAGTACATTAGAAAAGATTTCATCTAAAGAGGACTGGTCTTACAACAACAGATTTTCAAGTCATCAACAACATCATGAAAACAGTAACCATGAAATGCTTCTTCAGGCTGAACTTCATTTCAAATTCCTGAAAAGCACAGATCCATTACTCGCATTCAAAGATACCATCTACCTTACTTAAGTGCTGCAGGCCCAGTGTGTCAAAATAGAAACTGAATTCTACCACTGCAGTCGCAGTGAGGTAGTGAACGGAAAAGGGCACACCATGGGGGCACTGTATTGGCAGCTGATTGACATCTGGCAGGCTCCTTCCTGGGCCTCTCTAGAGTACGCAGGAAAAGTGGAAAATGCTTATTACTTTGCTTGGCATTTCTTCACTCCATTGTTGTCTGTGGGTTTTGAGGATAAAGGAGTGTTTTTCATCTATGGAGTGTCAGACCTTCACTCAAACTGTAATGTTCTGCTCTTTGTGAGAGTCCACAGGCAGAGTTCCCTGGAGCCTTTGTGCTCTCACAGGACCTAGCATTTTGTGATGAGAGCAGGGAAGGCCGTCCTCCTCTTTCAGGAGCCAGTGTCTAAACTGCTGCAGAGATGTGGGCATTGTACACGGCAAAGCTGTATGGTTTCCTTTTACCTGTCAACCAATAGCAAACCCTTGAGTCAACCAATTATTACTTCCTGTCCTCACCAAAAGAGGCTGTGGGGCTCCAGAAGGCACACATCACTGCCATCATCTCTCAGCAAAAGAACACATTTGTGTTTGATTTGGAAACCTCGGCTGTCGAGCTCTTCGTTTGGTTGGATGTAAGAGTGTCCCAGGGAGATTCAGTAACAATGGTTTCCTCATGACGGAAAAGACATGGACTATATTATTTTACCCCTGGAGGCCCACAGCAAGAGTGAATTGGAGCAATCTTTTCATGTGACTTCTTTGACTGATATTACTGAGGGAATCTAGTTTGTACTTTCAAAAGCACTCCTAAGGCACCAGCTGGAGCTGCAGGCAACCAAAGACAAGTGAAAAAGCCAGAAACGGGTCTGCCTGCTGCCACACATATGACTCATGACTCCGCCAAGAGTGCGTACAGTTTCTTTCAGGGAAGGCTGTTTACTCAGGAAGTCCTCCAGTGAGGCTGTGCCAGGACGGTGTTTTTAGGTCTTCCCCTTCTAGCTTTACTACCACATGAACCAGCTATAACCCAGCTGCCTCTCCCTACCCAGAAAGGATGTCTATACAGGTAGGTCTCTTGGGGAACCACAGGAACATGACCACAGAGCTTCAGATTTGGCTCAATCCAAGGAGATTTTCAATTCAAAGGAGTTAGATTTAGACTATTGACTTTGGCAAAAAAGTGATGTTCTTTTTAGTTTGAATTGAAATCATTTACCTATATTGATTAATTATAAGAGGCTATAAATTACTTCATTATACATGATCATGTTCATAAAATTACATGGATAATAAAACAAATGGGGCAAAATACTAATAATTACATGGATAATAAAGCAAATGGGGCAAAATATTAATAAGTACCAATTTGGGTAAAGGTTTATTAGGATTTTTTGTACTACTTTTGCAACTTCCTGCAAATTTGAAATCATGTAAAAAATTAAAATTTACATAACTGCATCAACAACAACAACAAAAAAGTTTGGGGCCACTATCTTACATAAACTTCGCTTTTAGATTAAAAAAAGATAAGGCAGAGCTAACAGGCATGAACACCTATTCTCTTTTACCTCCTCTCTCCTCTAAGTTAAACTTTATCCTAAGTAAGAGAAGGGGTTGGTAGGAATTTTCAAGCAGGTGGTTATCTCACCCAGGCGTGCCCAGTCTTCTATCATCTGTTCCTGGGCTGTATAAGGAGAGAGATCAGAACACCAAATCAGAGACCCATGGTCAGATCTGCTACATAGGAGCAGTCACTGCACAGGACATAGTCAACAGACCTAAATATTGTTGGTAACATTTTTCTATGTAAGGATAAAACCCATCTGTAAATAATCTAGTTTTTCCTTCAGGTTTTTCTTTTTTTTTTCTTGTCAGGTTTTTTTGGGGGGCTTTTCTTTCTTTGGCTATTTCTACTTAGGCATGCATAAAAAATTCAGTTTTATTACTTTAATAGCTATTTCATATATATTCATGCACTCATGCATGGAAATAACAGAAAGGGGGAAAACTTAATGGCCAAAAAGGTAGATCTAAGGTTGAGGCTATAAAGTTTTATTGTACAATATGAAAGGATGGAAAATAAACTGTGGCTTTTCTTGGCAGGGGAGGTATAGGTCTTCCAGCACTATGATGGAATTTTGGCTCAGGAAGTAGAATGTTTTTAAAGGTCTCCACCTATCCTACAGATTCCACCATGTATTTTTTATTGTTTACAGAGAATTCTTAAGTAAACCAGGAACAAACACATCTTGTTATAGACAAACAGTCATTTTAAAATGGCTTAAAATAAGCAAACCTATATTAATACATATTAAGTGTTGTTACAGGTCAAATAAATCTTTGCCTTTATAGACAGTCAAGTTATTTAATAATTCTAATTATAAAAACATTACTAATGGTAAGTAATTCAATTTCCTTTTATTGGAGGTAAGTGGATTTTTGACACACAAAAAAACAGACAACAGAGACATTTTCAGCATTTCAGATTTTGTAAAAAAATATTTTTATTGATTTCAGAGAAGGGAGAGGGAGAGAGAGAAAGAAACATCCAATGATGAGAGAGAATCATTGACTGGCTGCCTCCTGCATGGCCCACACTGAAAATCAAGCCCACAACCTGAGCATGTGCCCTGACTGGGAATAGAACCATGACCTCCTGGTTCATAGGTGGATGTTCAACCACTGAGTCACACCAGACAGGTCATCATTTCATATTTATTGCATAAAAATATAAACAACTTGGCATCAATATTATAATTAGTATAAGACAGAGCTGAATCCTCCAATACTTGCTTGAATTCAGTCACAACTATTATGGAAACCAAAGCAAAACAACCGAATACATTAGTGAAACAAATGAACTAATATCACTAATAAAAGTGATAACTGGAGAAAAAAGGGACAAGAAGTTCAATGGTGTTATTTTTCCAAGCAAAGCATATGGCTTGGCTTATCTGTGCTGGAATAAATAGCGAAAGTAAGAGATAACATCTGGTTGGTATTTCTTTTAGAGGAAGTGAAATGGTGTTCCCTAAAATGCCTAAAACTGGTCTTCTTGTCAATTTTGCTTGAAATACATTTAAATTGTTTTTGGAAGGAAAAAGAGAACTGTGTCTTTTGTGCAGCCTTAAGCACCGTGAAACATTATACACAACGAATTATTTAATTAGTTTGAAAATTGACATAAAAGGGTAAATACAGCAGCTCAGAAACCAAATAACTCAGAGATGGGAAGATAAGGGAAAGCTTCTTAGAATAAGAGATGCTTAAGTTAACACCTGAAGGATTACAGCATCCACTCCCATCTCCTGCAGTTTCCCTTTCTGCAATTATAGTCCAAAAATGTTAAATGGAAAATACCAGAAATAAACAATTCCTAAATTTCACATTGTGGGATGATCAGAGTAGCAAGATAAAATGTCATGCTGTCCCCTCCATCCTGCTAGAGATGTGAATCATCCCTTTATCCAGTGTCTCCATGCTATAGATACTACACACCAACTTGTTAGTCACTTAGCAGCCACCTCAATTATATCGACTGTCACATGATCACAGTGCTTGTGTTCAAGTCACCCTTATTTTACTTAACACGTTACGCGCCCAGCCTGTTTTGTCTTCCGGATGGAAAGTATATTGTCAGTCACTGGTGACTGGGAGCTTAACGTGTTAACAAGGGCCCCAAAGCACAAGAGCAGTTTAAACTTTATCACAGGTATGCATGTATAGGAAAAAACAGTATGTACAGGATGTGGTGCTATCTCTGGGTTCAGACATCCACTGGGAATCCTGGAATGCATCCCCCATGGATAAGGGAGGAGTCTCTAATAGAATGAGCTCAGAAAAGTGGGGTTAACGGCATTCTGGGAATAGCATGTGAATCAGTTCTGAGGTGGGAAGAGAGGAGGCCCTGTTAGTCTCTTTCTTCTCTTGTGGTGAGAAGGAAGGAGAGGCTGAGTGGCTGTGCAAGTAGTTTTGGTGACAGGAAGTTGAGGTAATTACTATCTAATGACTTGTATGTTCTGTGTAGGTGATCTGGTAATTTGCTAGAGCATGTAGGACAGTGATGGCGAACCTATGACACGCGAACTCATTTTTTGGTTGATTTTTCTTTGTTAAATGGCATTTAAATATATAAAATAAATATCGAAAACATAAGTCTTTGTTTTACTATGTTGCAAATATCAAAAAATTTCTATATGTGACACAGCACCAGAGTTAAGTTAGGGTTTTTCAAAATGCTGACACGCTGAGCTCAAAAGGTTTGCCATCAGTGATGTAGGACATAATGAAAGGCTGGGGCTTGTAGATACTTAGTATGATGCATTGTAGGTTGCTAGTATAAAGAAATACAACTGATTTCACATAGAGATGCTGTATCCTGTGCAACCCTGATAACTCGTTAGTTATTGTAGTTTTATTATTTGTAGCTGCTTTGGAGTTTTCTATGTAGATAATACATGCTATAATATGATGAACCCTGAGAACATTATGTTACGAGAAAGAAGCCAGACATAAAAGAAAAAATATTGTATGATTTCATTCCTAAGAGGTATCTAAATAGGTAAATCCATAGAGACAGAAAGTAGATTAGAAGTTGCTAGGGGATATGAAGAGGGGAGATGGAAAGTGATTGCTCATGGGTACAGAATTTCTTTTTGGCACGATGACATGTTCTGGAATTAGTGGTGATGGTTGTGAGTTTATACTAAAAAACACTTTATTTTTTTGTTGATCCTCACTAGAGGATATTTTCCCATTGATTTTTTAGAAAGAGTGGAAGGGGGGCAGGGGAGAGAGAGAGAGAGCGAGAGAAACATCAATGTGAGAGGAACACATTGATTGGTTGCCTCTTGCATGCACCCCGGGGGCCAGGGATCAAACCTGCGACATTCAGTGTGCAGGCTGATGGTCTAACCACTTAGCAGCACTGGCCAGGGCTAAAAACCACTTTAAAATGATGAATTTTGTGGCATGTAAATTATATTTTAATTTAACTTTATTTTTATAATACACTTTTATTGACTTAGAGAAGGGAGAGAGATAGAGATAGAAACATTGATTGGCTGTCTTCTGCACGTCCCTACTGGGGATCGCGCCCACAACCCAGGTATGTGCCCTGACTGGGAATCGAACCAGTGACCTCTTGGTTCCTGGGTAGACGCTCAGCCACTGAACCACACCAGCTGGGCTATATTTTAATTTTAAACAAGCTTTATGTTAGGAACAAGTCAGTAAATTAGTAACACAATAAGACAGCTAAGACTTACTGAGCACGTGCTATGTGCTTAAGTACTTAAGCACTTTCTATAAATCATCTCATCTAATTCTAAAAATGACCCTATGAGGCCGATACTGTACTTATCTCCACTTGATGGGTGAAAGAGAGTTACAAAAGAGATTAATTACCTCTTCTGGATTATCAGCTAGTAAAAGGAGGGAGTCTCAAGTCAAAGCCTGCCCTGCCTGACTTTGGCCCTCACACCGAAGGGTTGCAGGTTCGATTCATAGTGAAGGGCACATATCGGGGTTGAAGGTATGATCCCATGTAGAAGGCAACCAATTGATGTGTCTCTCTCACATTGATGTTTCTCTCTCTCTCTCCCCTCCCCACCTCCTTTGCACTCTCAATGGAAAAAATACCCTCAGGTGAGGATTAAAAAAATAATCTATATATATAAAAACTTAAGTGACCATTATGACCAGTCACTATGACGGCCACTGAACATCAGGGGGCAGAAGCTCAACGCAGGAGCTGCTCCCTGGTGGTCAGTGTGCTCCCACAGCCAACCTCCCGCGGTCCCTCCCCCTGGCCGGCCGGTGATCGTGAATGGGCAAGACAGCCCCGATGGCCAGCCAGGCGGAGGAATCCCACCCGTGGACGAATTCATGCACCGGGCCTCTAGTGATAAAATAAAGTCAAAGCTTATGTAATTTGTTGTACTACCCCCAAAATGATCTAAGTTCAAAAATTTCAGAAGAAATTCAAAAAGTAGAAGGAAATTTGGTGAGTACTGTGCCATAGTTTTCAGTTTATAAGATAGGTTTAAAAACGTGTTCAAAAGAAATGTGTGAAAATGGGTTGAGAGCTTATATTGAAACTGAATTTTGCTTGGCCCTTCCTCTCATTCTAGAAAGCCATAGCAAAGTACATTTTCTTTTAATTAATATAATGGTAGTAAGAAAGAAATTGAAAAAAGAGATATCTCCTTAAATGTAATAAGACCGAATTTAATATTAAGCAAAAAAATCAGTGATACATTTTCCAATTAAGGAAAAAGTGAAAACCAGTATATCCTAGCAGGCAATTTACTACTACATTTATCAGGCAATTTGGTAATATACTTCAAAAATCTAAGAAATTTGTATTTTATGATAATACTTCTAAGAAATATCCTATAAAGCAATCAGTTATTCAAAGATTTATGAAAAAGTATATTCACTACAGTATTATTCATAATAATGAAAAATCTAGAAAACTTAAATGTTCTGATAAATTATGGTATATAAATAAAAAAGAATTGTGTCATCATAAAAACATTAAAAACATGATAAGGAAAACTGCTCATATGCATGAAACAAAAAAAGTTAGGTTATAAAATCTGTGTGTTGATGCTGGTTACTTCTGGATGGTTGTGTTAGAATTATAGTTGACATATTTTCTGCTCTATACTTTGTAATGTTTCACTTTCTAAAATGAACACAGATTTTCTAAATAAAAGGTGTTATATTTCTTTAAAAAATATTTTTATTAATTTCAGAGAGGAAGGAAGAGGGAGAGAGAGAGAGATGGAAACACCAATGATGAGAGAGAATCAATGATAGGCTGGGCTGCTTCCTGCATGCCCCACACTGGGGATCTAATTGAGCCTACAACCCGGGTATGTGCCCTGACCGGGAATCGAACTGTGACCTCCTGGTTCATAGGATATTATGTATACAGGTATATAAGTTAAGGAAAAAATGAGCTTACTCTTTTTATGTATTTTTAAAAATCCTGCCTAATTGACAAAATTGAACAGAGAGGATAGTTCTCCAATAATAGAGACCTCGTTACTTCACTTTCACCAATGAATAGAACAACCACAGAGATCAATAATGAACCAAAGAACTCAAACAACACTGTAAACCAATCAAACCTAACAGACATCTGGAACTCTTCACCTGCGAGTATCAGCATATACATACTTGCTTCTAAAGAGCATATGAAACATTACAAGACCATATGATAGCTTAAAATAAAAATCTTAATAAATTGAAACACAAATTGTTAGGGGAAGAAATAGAATATTGGGGACTAGCTATCATTATAAGAAATATTAATTGTGCTCTGTTAACTGTGATTGTGTTGCTCTAATTAAAGAAAGCATATTCTAACCTGGCTGGGAGTTGTATGCCCCTGGGACCTGGGTAACCTTGGAATGTGGTCCATTCTATCCGAGAACTGCCTATTAGTATGGAAAGATTAACAAACTTGTTTCCCAAACAATGGAGTCCCCTCCCCAGCCCGCAATGCCTATAATCCAAGCATGTCAAACTCAAAGGCTAACACAGGCCAAATAAACAAGGTTTAAGTTTATGTGAGTTGCAGGGACAACGAAGACCAATGAAGACCACGGCTTTGTGTATGTGCCAGCAAAGCCATGGAGGCCATTTACCCGATGTGCTATTCCATACATAACCCTATACTGTATATTATGAATCAATAAAAAATTTACAATTTTTAATTATAAACCTGTGTTTTCTATCAAAATTACTTCTTGCGTGAATTTTGGGACACCCTTTAGCTGCAATAAAAAACAATATGGTAGCTTTCAACAGTAGAGTAGGACAAGTGGAGGACCAAATTAGCGAATCAGAAGACAGGCAAGTAAAACACACCCAATCTGAACTGTAATTGGAGAAAAAAAATCAAAAGACAGAAAGAGAACCTGAGGGAGCTTTGAGACAACATGAAATGAAGCAACATATGTATAATAGGGGTGCCAGAACGACAAGAAGAGGAAAAGGTTAGAAAACCTATTTGAAGAAATAATGTCAGAAAACATCCCTGACTGGGGGAAGAAAAAAGTCAGACAAGCACAGAGAGTCCCATACAAGATGAACCCCAAAAGACCCACACTAAGACACGTTGTAATTACAATGGCCAACGTTAACAACAAAGAGAGAATCTTAAAGGCTGCACGATGAGAGAGAGAAAGTTACCTACAAGGGATCTCTCACTAGAGTATCAAATTATTTCTCAACAGAAACACATCAGGCCAGAAAGAAATGGAAGGGAGTATACAAAGTGATGCAAAGCAAGGGACTGAATCCAAGAATACTCTCTCCAACAAGGCTATCATTCAAAATTAAAGGGGAAATCAGGAGCTTCACAGACAAAAAAAAGCCTAAGGGAGTTTATCACTACCAAGCCAGCAATGCAAGAAATGCTAAAGGGAATGCTGTAAAAAGAAGAAATAAGAAGGTAAGAAAGAACACAGGCACAAAAATAGAAATGACTACAAACAAGTATCTATCAATAATAACTTTAAATGAAAATGGTCTAAAAATACTCCAATCAAAAGACCTCGAGTGGCTGAATGTATAAAAAACATTACCCATATATATGCTGTCTACAAGAGACCCACTTCAGAACAAGAGACTCACACAGACTGAAAGTGAAGGGATTGAAAAATATCTTTCAGGCAAATGGAAATAAAAAAAAGCTGGGGTAGCAATACTTATATCTGACAAAATAGACCTCAGAGTGAAGGCCATAACAAGAGATAAGGCAGGCCACTTCATAATACTAAAGGGATCGATACAACAAGAGGATATAACTCTGGTAAACATATATGCACCCAATGCAGGAACACCCAAATACATAAAAAAAAATTCTGGATGATATCAAGGGAGATATCGACAGCAATGCAATCATAGTAGGGGACTTTAATACCCCACTGACAACACTGGATAAATCCTTTAGACAAAAAAATCAGCAAAGAAACAGCAATCCTAAATGACTTACTATATCAAATGGACTTAATTGACATCTTTAGACCATTCCACCCCAAAGCTATAGAATATACATTCTTCTCAAGTGCACATGGGACATTTTCAAAGATAGACCACATATTGGGTCACAGGCAAAAATCTCTCCACATTCAAGAAGACTGAAATCATATCAAGCATCTTCTCAGACCACAATGGCGTAATATTAGAAATAAACTACAATAAAAACAATAAAAAAAATTCAAACACTTGGAAGCTGAATAGCATGCTATTAAAAAATGACTAGGTTATCAAAAAGATCAAAGAATTAAAAACATCCTGCAAACGAATGACAATGAAAACACAACAATCCAAAACCTATGGTACACAGTGAAAGCAGTCCTGAGAGGGAAGTTCATAGCATTATAGGCTTATGGAAAAAACAAACAAAAACAAAAACAAAAAATCAAGAAAAACTGGTAATAAATTATCTAACTCAACAACTTAAAGAATTAGAGAGCAAGAAGAAAAGCCCAGAGTGAGCAGAAGAAAGGAGATAATAAAGATCAGAGCAGAAATAAATGACATAGAGACCAAAAACAATACAAAAGATCGATGAAACCAAGAGCTGGTTCTTTGAAAGGATAAACAAGATTGATGAACCTCTAGCCAGGCTCACCAAGAAACAAAGAGAGAGGACCCAAATAAACAAAATCAGAAATGAAAGAGGCAAAATAACAACAAACCCCACAGAAATACAAAAGATAGTAAAAAAATACTATGAACAACTCTACTCCAACTAACTAAACAACCTACAGCAGTAGTTCTCAACCTTCTGGCCCTTTAAATACAGTTCCTCATGTTGTGACCCAACCATAAAACTATTTTCGTTGCTACTTCATAACTGTAATGTTGCTACTGTTATGAATCGTAATGTAAATATCTGATATGCAGGATGGTCTTAGGCGACCCCTGTGAAAGGGTCGTTCGACTGCCAAAGGGGTCGCGACCCACAGGTTGAGAACCGCTGCTCTAGATAATAATAGACCTTCACGCACCTTGCCCTACCCAGTTTCTGTTCCATATATAGCTTCTTTCAGAGCAGTACTTCTAGCACACTTCAAAAAGTGTCAGAAGCCAAGAAATTTTCATAGAACATTCCTGCAATATAAAGCCCAGAAGATGGGGCCATATCTACTCTATGCAAAGTAAAAAGGACTAATTTAGATAATAAAATGAAGAACTTCTGATATTATTTGAAGTAACTGAGAGTTGGCAGTTTATGAACTAAAATTATATAATTATAGCTTTTGGATTTTTGTTTATCATTCTATTTTTTCAGTTGTTTTATTTTTTTTAAACTGATGGCATCATAACTCCATTATATGAACCTCTTAATTGCTCTAAGTTTCATTTTTTTGCCCAATTTAAAACATTAATACCAATGAAAATGAACATGCTGGATAAAATTATTTTATTAATAATTCATCTAGTGACATTAAAAAATCTTAACTATTTTTCCTCTTTCTCTTTAGAGAAACCCATATACAAAAAAATTTCTTAGATAAACACGTATGTTTACAAGTTTAACTACTTGTGTCACAAAGATTGAAACAGCTAAACAATAAGTAAATGCATTTTGCCCACAGATTGATGACAATTAAAACGAAAAAAAACTATCAATAATTTGAAAAATAGAGGTTTTTCAGCCCCAATATTTGTTTTTCTAAACTAAAAAAATAAAATAAAATTTATAAAAGCAACTCACGTTCCATGTGCTCAAACATTACTGAAAAGAGGAAGTCTCGTGGTGTCATGTAATATTCTCCTTCGTGTTCCAGTGAAGAAAATTGCATGAAGCGCTGTTTACGAAGAGACAACTTCTTCATCATCTTTCCACAGTCACCATTTTTCTAAAATAAAAAAAAGGCAATGTAAGACTTCTTTCAGTATTATTCCCCAACTTAACTCCTTCTAGAATAATCTTACAGCTAATGAATAAATGTGTAAAATAATGAGAGAGGGTGAGAAGAGCCAAGAAGAAATGCAAATCAGGATAAGAAACTGATAAGGAGTAATGTTTTAGACAGGCTTGTCAGGGAAGGCCTTTTTAAAGAGGTGACAGCGCCCTGGCCAGTTTGGCTTAGTGGATACAGCGTCGGCCTGCAGACTGAAGGGTCCCAGGTTTGATTCCGGCCAAGGGCACATGCCAGGGTTGTGGGCTTGATCCCCAGTGGGGGGGCATGCAGGAGGCAGTCAATCAATGATTCTCTCACATCACTGATGTTTCTATCTCTCTCTCCCTCTCCCTTCCTCTCTGAAATCAATAAAGAAATATATATATATTTTAAAAAGAGGTGACAGTAAGGAGACTGAATGAGGTATAGCTACTGAGATATGGGGCTCTCAGGAAGAAGAGCATACTAAGCAAGAGGTAAAGACAGGAATAAACTTGGTGTGTTCAAGGAACAGTGTGGCAGAAGATCAGATCAGATAGGTAGGCAACAGATCACGTCAAGTTGTGTTTCCATAAAGATAAACTATGGTATATCTGGCAAATAACTGTTTTGAGAAATATATTTACATTGTGGGTGGGAAGTGCTAAAAGAACAAGAATGGGTCAAATATTGTTAGTGTAGGAGTCTGTAGTCTTTGCAAAGGAACCTAGATCTTGACCCAAATGCTGATAGAGACAATACTGAAATATTTATTGCTAACCTTTCATTGAGCACTTACAATGTGTGACGCACTGTACTAATTAAGTACTTCGCACAGATTATTTAATTAATCATCCCAATAACTGGACAATAGATACCACATTAGATACAAAAGCTATAAAGTAAATGGCAGAGTCAGGATAAAAGAGCAGGTGTCAGCCTGGCCGGCATGGCTCAGTGGTTGAGCACTGACCCATGAACCAAGAGGTCACTGGTTCGATTCCCGGTCAGGGCACATACCTAGGTTGCAGGTTCGATTCCCAGTTGGGGTGTTTATGGAAAGGCAACCAATTGATGTCTTTCTCTCTCTTTCAAAACAAAAATCAATGAGCATGTCCTCGGGTGAGGATTAAAAAAAAAAAAAAAAGAATGTGAGTATTATCTGTGAAATTCAACATTATACTCTCACTCTAGATAGTTTTCCTTAAGGTGCTGCCCTAACTTGGACAACATCCTTCCTTGGACACACCACTCCCCTTTCACACAGACTACTGATCGATTATTCAACATGACACACAGGTGATGGTCAATGAATGCTGATTAGAAATGAAATGGGGAAACATAAATTTCAGTTGCTCAAACCCCTCCAGATTCAAAATCCCTTTTTGGCTAATCTCAATTCTTTCTCATGATTTGATAATGACTTCTTTGAGCAGCTAGATTTATACCTCTTTTGTGTTTCGTGCAGTGCCTAACAGAATACTAACATATATGGAACACTCAGTAATACTACAATGATCTGTACCCTTAGAACTTATCTATTCATGTCCTTCCTTTTCTTTCCCCTTAAATTACTAATAAAAATCACTTGAGGGGCATGTTTTAATTATACGAGTCTATACTCATACAAGTAATCAGAAAACTAAATTTTATTAATACTTCCTAAACATTTTATTCATGAGGCAGATACATTATCATTTTATTTAATAAATCTATATAAAGTATCTAAAAGAAAACAGCAATAAACAAGATGAACATTAATTCCTACTAGAATGTCCTAAGCGCTTTGTTAGTAAGTTTATAGAAAGTATATGATGGGATAGGGAAGCAGGATGGGTTAAGAGTCTTCTCAGTAAATACCATAGCACTGGCAAAGTCCTAGAGAGAGAGAGCACGATATTTTATTTTTTAAAAATGTTTGATTTTTAGAGAGAGAGGAAGGGAGAGGGATAGAGAGATAGAAACATCAATGAGAGAGGAACATCATCAATTGGCTGCCTCCTGCACACAGAGCAACCTCAGTTCCTGGGTCAACACTCAATAGCTAGACTACACAAGCAAGGCGAGCATGATATTTTAGAAGAACTGGAAGAAGTTGAACATGGGCATAAACATTATTAGCTAGAGAATTATTTATTATACAAATGTTTATAGTCTATTAAGAGATTAACAAAAGTAAGTAATCTGTACAGAAATGCAGTATATTTCCAAATCCTTAAACAAATGTTGGCTTTTATACTTCCTAATATCTAAGCTGTTCATGACTGGTTAAAAAAATGCCTTTACACCCCTAGCCCATTTGGCTCAATGGATAGAGTTTTTACACGTCAAATAAAATTGGACCACAGGATACAAATCTTTTCTTCCTTCCAATATTGTTATCATACACTTTTACAAAAACTTAAGTTCAATTACAGGAAAAGCACGTATACAAATATTAATTCAGCATGCTAACACATAGGTTTGGGTATTTCAGGATGTAAGGAGAAACATGACTATTATCTCCCAGGGCTAAATCAATTCCTTTCAAAAATAAAAAGCATCATAAGACAAACTATAATTTTGAGCAATTTATTTAGGGTACAAATTTCATTATAAATGTTGGTATTCATATCTAAAACCCTTGTAAGGACCAAGGGTTGTTTCAAGGCTATTTAGAGAATATCAGCACTGGAGAAAGTTGGACTCTCCAGGTATTATAGGATCTGTTGCGTAAATTAAGTTTTCTTCTTTTTTCCCCCTTTGGATTTTTGGTTTTTACTCTCAATCTATAAAATCCATTTTATTTTTATTTATTTTTTATTTTATTTTTTATTTTTTTATTGATTAAGGTATTAAAAATGTGTCTTTATCCCCCTATAAAATCCATTTTAAAATAAAATCTGGGAAGTTCTTTTCCCTATGTTAGTCCCCCCCCCCCTCCCCCCCGCCAAAAAGTATACTGTACCTTCCTAAGAGTTAACTCTTAAAATCACAGGGTCATAAAAAACCCTACAAACTGATGAGAAGGCAGTAGGAAAACATTCTTCAAACCTCCCTCTCTTAAAAACAAGAACAACAAAAACGTCCCTCTCACAAACCAACAAAAAACACACACATCCATGATGATGCAAGCTCCTCACCTCCTACTTTAAACTTATTCTAAGAAGGACCTTTTGAATACAGATAACTTGTTCCAAACTAAAATAACAATAGGATTGAAAACCAGTTTCTTCTGCTGTGTACTGGAACGAGAGGATGAAATTCTGAACCACCTCATTGTTCAGAACAACTCTAAGGAGCATTGTTCACACTTGGTCACCACACAACTGTCTAGCAAATAGCAGTCCAGTGCACTGAGGAGGGGGTATCTTTTCCATACGTGCTGGACTAATACTATCATTGATATCTCCCAATCTGCAGGGATAGTGCAGGCAGAAAAAATTACAGAATGTGCCAACTGGAAGCTCCCATCACATGTTGCATTCACTACAGGCTCAATACCTGCCATTTTTCCCACTTGTGTTCTCTCAACGGTGGGATCAGCATCAGTCAGTTATGGCTTGGTTGGGCAGAGAAATACTTTAATTACAAAGTATGGTAGCGGTGTTTGCATGGCTGATCTAGCTACCGACTATGACATGGTGAAACGAGAATTAGCACAATTTTAAAAAATAAAGAGGCCATCAAGACTGCTGATGTTGCTAAAGGTGTGAAAATGCTCACAGAACAATCACAGGCTAAACACGGAATCATTTGGGGGTCTGGAATGGATTAATTCAATTTACATTATTTCTAATGGGAAAAAAATGATTCCGTTTTAAAACAAATCACTCAGGAGCTGCCCCCTGGTGGTCAGTGTGCTCTCACAGTGAGACTGCTGCCCAGCTGAGCAACAGGCGCCAGACTACCAAGCAGCCAGCAGCAGTGGCAAGTGCAGCAGGGCCAGGATGAGCAGTAGCAGCGCCCGTCTGGGGCTCAGGCTCCTCCCCGGCCGCCTGACGCTTCACACTACTACACCTCCCAAGGGGTCCCGGATTGCGAGAGGGCACAGGCCAGGCTGAGGGACCCCACCGATGCATGAATCTGTGCACCGGGCCTCTAGTTAACAATAAAAATCACATTCTGAAACAGAAAACAAAACACAACATATAAAAGGTGATGGCCTTTATAATATCAGAGTGAAGATAAAGTGCAAGAGGACAGAACTATTTGACAAGGGAGTTGGCTGAGCTAAATACTAGGTGTACCAGTTAATAATGCGGATTTTTTTCACTAGATGGAGTTACACATATGTTGAGATATATATATATATATATATATATATATATATATATATATATATGCGATTTGATATGTATGCTATTTTGTTGTACTGACAGGAACTCTACTCCAACAAACTAGACAATCTGGAGGAAATGGACATATTCCTAGAAAAATACAACCTTCCAAAACTCAATCAGGAAGAATCTAAAAATCTCAATAGGCCAATAACTATGGAAGAAATTGAAGGAGTAATCAAAAAGCTTCCAGCAAACAAAAGCCCCGGGCCAGACAGCTTCACAGGGGAGTTTTACCAAACATTCAAGGAAGAACTAAAACCTATCCTCCTCAGACTATTCCAAAAACTTCAAGAGGAAGGAATACTTACAAGCTCATTCTATGAAGCCAGCATCACCCTAATACCAAAACCAGATAAAGACAACACAATGAAAGAGAATTACAGGCCAATATCCCTCATGAACATAGATGCCAAAATCCTCAACAAAATCTTAGCAAATCGGATCCAGCAATACATCAGAAAGATCATACACTATGACCAAGTAGGATTTATCCCAGGGATGCAAGGATGGTACAATATCTGCAAATCAATAAACGAGATACATCACATAAACAAATTGAGAGAAAAAAACCACATAGTCATATCAATTGATGCAGAAAAAGCATTTGACAAAACCCAACACCCATTTTTGATAAAAACTCTCAGCAAGGTGGGA